CGTGCTTGAGTGGTTGCAGTTTGACTTTTTTGCCAACAACATAGCTCTGTTTTTTATGAAATTAAATGAATTTCAGTTTCTTCTTCGTTTTTTTTTTTGGATTTATAACGCTAAGCAAGAAATTTTATGCTGAGCAAGAGCTAACAAAAACAAGCCTAAGAGGCTAAACTAAGCATTCGATTTCTTGCCAAGCATATTAAATACTGTCATCCAGTATTATATTGATGGCTCTGTCTTTTGCTATGCTGCTACCATTCGGATTGTATTGTTTCCTTGGTAGTTTTATGCGTTTTTGGCATCTATGCAATGCAAAAATGTATATTTTTTTGGTGGGAGGGGGAGGGGGGAAGGAGGTCGGGTTATTACGTATGAGCATGATGAATCAACGTAAAAAGGCGATGTGTTTCAACGTTGGTTTTAGGTAAAACTTGAATTTTTAGCGATATGTTTTGTAATTTCAGGATGATGTATTGCCTTCAGTGGCTTATTCCAGTTTTACTGATCCCCAAACATTGGCTTCATCCAACGTTCATCATTGATCAAGCAATATTCATGTGGTTCTATGTTGCCGGGTTTTTCATGGAAAGAAGGTATGATATTTTTTCTTTCTCAGAGACACTCTTTTTATGTAATGGCTGCTTACGAAGTGGCTGTTTCGCTTACCAGGTAAGCTACGAAGCTGAAACTTTGCAGGTTACCAACATTTTCTGCTAAAAATTACATTTTATCATTTTCATATGCTCCCCCAAAAAACTGGATTTCCAGGCCATGCTATATTTGTTCGGTGATATTTTTCACTACAGTTGGAATGTTGTGCTGGAGTGATAGTGATTCCTGTATATTTTGGCCATCCTGCAAAACAGTCCTGAACGGTGAAATGTGCGCATATGTTCGTGAAAAAAGGCAGTGGCTTTCGTGAGAAATAATTTTTTCCATTGAAAAACAACGAAGGAAGCTCGCACTTTTTCGGCGTTTTTTTTTTTATTATTGTTTTTCACTGTGAGAACGGGTATTTTGCCGCTTGGAAACACGAATTTGTTCCATACTATCTGCTAGAAGATACCCAATTTATTTACCTTTCTCATCGGAAAATGAAGAAAGCGAAATTTATCATGAAGAGGGGGTTGCGGGGGGAGGGGAGGGGAGGAGGGATGAGAGGAGGGGAGTTTTCGAGGGCGCAGGATTTCCGGTACAGAGATCCTGTAGCCGACAAGTAGATAACCACTTGATACATATCGCTTCTCTCGTTACTCTCTTTTTTTGCGTGTTAAAACGTGTCATATACATGGCAAAATTTTGGGAAAACAAGGATTTTTTGAAATTTTTTCCGTGTCAAGTTCGAAAACCGTGGACAAAATTTTGAAAATTCCGAAGAAATTTTTGTGCGGTTTCTGCTGTTGTTGCTCAGCATCACTGTATATACGGGAAATTTAGACGGGCTTGGATCTAAGCCAAGCACCATTTCTTATCATTTTCCTCTTATTCGAGCCTTTTTACGATTTTTCTACACTCTCTCGGCTGCTTCAAGGAGAAAGATGCGGGGGGGGGGGCGGTTTCGGTTACTGAAGTAAATGTTTTTGCGGTCCACATTTCATTTTTGCCGAATCCGTGTTCTTGGCTCATAAAATTCTAAAAAAAAAAAGAGAAAAAACGGAGAGAAGAAGTGCCATACCTCCTCTTGCAATGCAGATTTTTGGATTTTGCGCCTTTTCTAAGTGTTGTAGAAATTTTAAAGATACAAACAATAAATATCCCTGGCTGGGAGATTGGAAGAGGACAGGGGCTGAAATCGCGTCTATGCGTTTACATAGGCAGTTTGTTTGGCTTTGTTGGCCCATCAGCGTGGGGAGGAACACAATCGAATTTTGATAATTAATGAAAACACACTGGAAGTAGTGCCATTTAGATCTTCC